GCTTGTCGGTGGCGGTGCCGCGCTGGACGCGGCTGTGTTCGGTGGCGAATATGCGTTGTACGCGAGTGCGCGCGTGGTTGCGTCGGGGGGCGCTGTGCTGCGCGTGTCGGGGAGCCAGTTGTACGCCGCGCATGGGTTGGTGTTCGACAGCGGGGTGGTGGCTAATGCGTCCGCTGTCGTAGTGAACGACAACGCCGGTGCGCTGACCGATGGCGCGCTGCTTGTGCTGCGGGGGTCGGCGTCGTTTGCGTCCGGGTCGTGGCTGTCGGTGCGCGGCAACAGCATCAGCGGCAGGCTCCTTTCGGTGCCGTCGTACCCGCGCCGTGCGGAACTTGTGCGGAGCACGCTGACGCTCTACGGGAACGTCGGCAGCGGGCCTGTCGTGATGGACGGCACCGTTGTGCTCGTGGGCGCCGGCCGAAAGTTCGTCGTGGGGTGTCTGACGCTCAACGGGCAGGCGCTGCGGCCTATGGACTACAGGTCCGCCGGCATCATCGGGGAATTCCTTCCCGTGGCGTGTGGCGTGTGCGACACCGACGTGCACTGCTTTGCTGCTGCGACGAGGGCGATGTCGGGGTCGTGCGGCTGCCGCTGTGCTGAGGGCGGGTACGGGCGCGACTGCCTGCCGGTGTACCTGCCGCACGTGGACGGGTGCAACCGCACGCCCGTCATGCCGCTGCTGAGTCACACGGCGACGCTGACGGAGACGCGCAGCCCGACGCCGACGTGGACGCCGAGCCTGAGCGCGACGCACTACAGTCCACCGCAGTACGGGCCGACGGAGACCCTGCAGGTGACGGAGACGGTGGCGCTGTCGCCCACGCGGACCCCGACGGCGTCGGTGAGCGGCACGCTGTGGTGGAGCGACGTGGCGTGCCCGACGCTCGCCGTGACGACGACGGCGGCTGGAGGAGGCCTGACGCAGAACGACATCCGCGGCGGTGGGAGCGCCGTCCCGACGCTGCTGATGGTGGCGCTGCCGCCGCCGTTTCGGTGGGCAAGCGACCCGCGGCTCGGCACGCACCTGAGCTTTGTGCCGGTGTCGACGGCGCAGCCGCGCGGGTTCGGCGGCCCGTGGGGAGCGATGCTGCGCAACGCGACGTGGATGCGCAACGCGACGAATCCGTCCACCGTCCTGGAGCTGGCTGTGCCCGTGCACCGCGGTTACTTCACTGCTGGTGACGAGACGATAGTCATTCGGTGCGACGCTGTGGCGGTGTTCGGCGGCTGCAAGGGTGTGCTGCTTGGGTCCTTCACGATCAGGTCCGACACGCTGCCCGTTGCTGCCAGCGCCCTCTCGGCAATCACCGGCGTTGTTGCGGGTGCGGCGGCTGTTGCCGTGGTGGTGACCGGCGGGCTGGGCTCCATTCTGGAGATGCAGGCGTTCGGCGTGTTCGCAAGGATGCCATGCGCCTCTGTGCAGGAGCGTGCGAGCACCGTTGCGCTGCCGTACTTCCTCTCGGTGTTCGCTGTCCTTGACCCGCTGTGGATGGTGGTGGGCAACGCGCTGCTCGCCGCTGTGTTCGGGTGCGTGCACTGCGGTGTGACGGCCGCCTTCCAGCGGTGGCGCGGCGTGGACGCTGCGAGTGCGTGGGCTGCGATGCGCTTCCCGAGCCTGACGTGCGTCGTGGCGCACGCGATGCACCTCGGTATCTTCTTTGGCTCCGTGCTTGCACTGGCGATGCCCGACGCTCCCGTGCAGCACCGCGTGGTCGGTGTCGTTGGTGTGCTGTACGGTGTGGCGTTCCCTGCTGGCGTGTGCTACTTGATTGCTCGCCACGTGGGCGCGAGCTTCACGAAGTACTGGCAGTTTTCGAGGAAGCCGCTGCACGAGCGCCTGCTGTACCCCGTCGGGTATTGGCACCCCGCGGCGCAGCAGCGGATGTACGGCGGCATGCTGACGAACATGAGGGGCAGCCACGTGTACTGGTGCGTGTTCCAGCTGTCCGTGCTGTGTGTGGTGGGCCTGATTGCTGCTGTGCACCCGCCCGTGGGAGGCTGCCACGTCCTGTACTTCTGCATGGCTGCTGTGCTGCTTGCGGGTGCGGGCGTGGTTGCCTTCACGAACATGATGCGCTCGGCCTTCCTGACGGTGTTGCAGACGGCGAGCTTTGTGCTCCTTGCGGCGCTGTGCGTGGTCAGCGCGGCCAACCACCTTGCGCCGAGCGACGGCGGTGTGAGGGCGTACGTGGCTACGGTGCTGCTGCTGACGACCGTGCTGCTTGCGGTCACTGTGTACAGCGTTGTTTTTTGGTACGCGGAGGACCACCACTGGCAGGAGCTGCGCGAGCCGCGGCGTGGAGGGCTGGAGGCGCTGCTGCGCGATGACGAGGAAAGCGACGAAGAGACGCAGAAGCCTCACGACATGACGTCATCGTCGTACGCCTCAGGCACCACCGTTGCGTCGTCGTACCAACCACCCGCACCGCCGTTGCAGCCCATGGCCGGTGACACCCGCTCAGACGCGCTGAGCCTGCTGGACCGTGCATCCAGTGCGAGCTGCAGCGTTAATTATGCCCCTCTGGACAGGTAAGGATGGTTTGCTTGGCGAAAAATTTAGCGCAGTTTCTCCTTTTGGGGGTGTAAAGGCTCCGCAACTCAACAGCACCGTTGCACGTCGAGAATGCACAAACCCCCTTGCAGGTACGGCATAACGTGGATGCTTCTAGGCATCTTCTTTCTTTTGATTATTCATAGATTGATTGGGTGATTGATTTGGTGTTCTTATTTTATTTTATCGATTATCGACGACGACGGATTATCGAGGTATCACGCTAGCCCGGGGCGGATGCGTAACGAGTGTGTGTGTGTGTGTGCGTGTGTTTTACGCTCTTCGCTGCAGCACCGAATATGGGGGCTGGTGCTCTCTCTCTTTCATATCTGTACTCTGTAATGAGTACGTGCTCGAAGACGGTGGCTGATGTGCGGATCATAGGATGCATTCAGGAAAACGTTAGGGAAAACAATCGATGAGGCCGTTCTGTGACGCGTCAACTCCTGGAAGTTGTGAGTGCGCGTTGCTGGCTGATATGAGGAAGGGGGCGTGGGGGCCACGGCTGCTGTGCAGCTGCGCAGCCACCCATCGTACTCCGCAGCGACAGCGTCATTGATTGCTGGTTTGTTTCTATTTTTTGTGCGGGTGCCTGCAGTGACTCTCTCTCCTGTTCCAAGATGACTGTGTGGGAGGGCATGCCTGTCGCTTTTTATGCTTCTGATGCTGTGTAGAAAGAACCATAAGAGAAATATCGAGGAATTACGCGGAATGATGTATTACTTTGCGTACATGTATAGAGATCGGTGTATTCCCGTGGATTATTTATTTATTTCTCTTTTTTTTTTTCTTTCTTTCTTTCTTTTGCGTTGCTCCACACGCGTCTCAGTGTTTGCTTTAGCACGGCCACACACGGGTAGCTTGAGCCGCGGATGTTTCTTTGTAGTTGACGCCATTTTCTGTTGGACGCCAACGCGGCCACGTTCGTCAAGCATCCACTCTCCACAGCGTGGTGCCTGATATTTTGGGGTCGTCGCAGGTTTAACGCCGGCACCACCGCCGTGGCACTCATGGGAAGTAAGATGGGACGCGGGACAGCGAAAGATATTGCGCTGCACATGTGTCTGCTGCATTAGTTCTGTTGGGGAGGTTTCAATTTAGAAAAAGAGGGATCAACATTGCACGACTCTGTGGCTTGGAGGCGTTATTACCCCTTTTTTATTATTATTCTTATTGTTGGTATGATCTCTGGTTCCCACCCGTGTCTGCCCCGATTGCCTCCCCTGAGTGGAGCTGCGCCATGGCCATTGTTTTTGTTGCTTGCGGGAGGAAAAACACATTGCGAGCGACGAAACCACACGTCATGCATGTGGCGTCCAGGGAGGTACGTATTTGAGGTGGAGTGCACATATGTGGATTTCATGTGAGACGAAACGGGGGGTTGACTGCCCAACCGTCGCTCCTTTTCTGGAGAGTGTGCTCTTATTTTTTTTGTTTTTGTCGCCCTTTTGTTCCAGGGCACGGCGGGATTGAGGGCAGCACCGTCCCACGAAAGGTCTTGCGCACATACAAACTCTCATGCCACTGTCGCCCCCGGAGTTGGGTGCAAAACCCAAATTTCAGCTTTCTTCTGCATCGGCGCAATTATTTGTTTATCAACTGACGCCATTCTTTCCGGCGTGTCATTTTGATTGGATTGTGTGGGATTGCTCGCCAACGCCATCAAACAAAACAGGCCGACCTTTTCATGTGCTTAAATGTCGTCTTGCACGCAAGTATTTTTTACGCGTACTGTTGATGTGCACTCAAACAGCGAGGTGTCCGGAACTATGCGTGCGTGGAATTCTTCCTGCCATGTGAACTGCAGACAACACCGAGGGGCCGCCACTTTTACTCCGCAGAGTTGTTGTGTCTTTTTGCGGGGTTGGCAGGGAAATCCCATGCAGCCCGCTACTGCTGGTGTGTCCCCAAACGTTGTTACTCCAAGCGAATAATGTGCTTCAGCGAGTGAGGGTGTTGGTTGGGTTTGTGTGCACTTTGATTCTGTTTGTTACTTTGTGTGGGCACGCAACACTTGAGTGGTGGGAAAATGGAGCGGGGCGATGCGTGGCCGCGTCTCGCCCATCGTTCACTGCACGGTGGTGTGGTGCACGTTGTGGTGCTGACTCTGCGATGTGACTGCGGTCTCCTGCGCGGCAATGGCGGTGGGTGGAGGGGAGTGTTGACCCGCGGCGGGACGGTGGGGTCGTGCCTCCTTTTCTCTTTCTTCTTTCCCTTTTGTGAAGGTGTGCACCTATTTTTGGTGTCAGCGATGGGGCAAACAGACCGACAACGTGAATAAAACAAAATAAAAAAGGACGATAGTGTGGCGGTATGTTGGGGGTTGGTTGCACGCCTCGTGTTGCTGCGGGGGTGGTGGGCCTCGGCTGTTTTGCCGACAGGCGTTGCAGTGCGGCTGCATGGCGCACCGACCATCGAGCCGTGCGAGTGTTACGCCCAACGCCACTGGGACTGCGGGAGGAGACAGCCGAGAGTGTCCTTTGGAGCCAGCGGCACCTGCTGGCCGCAGTTGGGCGGTGCGAGTGGGTGCTTCACTGCACGGGTGTTGTGATGGCACCTCGCCGTGGCTCTTGTGATGGTTCCGACGCTGCAGCTCGACATGTGGCGGGGAGTGAAGTGTGGCTGCAGTGGACCATGAGCAGCACCAACGTGAAGCTGAACGGTTTCCCTTGGAATTATGTTGGCGGAAGGGCGGCTGTTGATGAAAGACTACAACGTGACGATGGAGGAGTTTGTTTTGGATGTCGATTTTTACGTAGAAGACATACAGCTTCTTGTTAAAATTTTATTCTTGCAGGAGTGCAAGGTGCAGAAAGATGTTTGCAGACTGCATAGAAAGGGAATTTACACACTTGCTTTTTGGAAGGAGTTTCGCCACTTAAAGGAGTTTAATATTTGGTCTAACTCTAAAGAAAGGTTGACCGCGGCTGTGAACGCTGCTGACAGCGCCGAGGTGGAAATTCAAGTGAGCCATGAATGAGGCGCAGTGAGGGCATTTTTAACTTTTAATGTGGACGAACCAGTGAATCAAGCGGAAAACACTTTGGAAGAAGATGAGGCATAATTGGACGTCATGCATGGCGACGTTGCTGTTGATTTAGAGGAGCAGGAGAGACAGGCGCAGAGGGGAGCGGGGGGCGGCGTAGCTCAGACTCCCGCAGCACGTGTAAGAGGAGACAAGAGGGAAACGCAGCAACCGCAGTGAACTCTTGACAGTCGGCTGGATAAAGTGCTGCAGGAGGGAAAGGAACGCATCACCAGCATGAGGCTGAATGACTTCCTTCGGAATTATTTTGGGCGGCAGGGGCATTGTGGACGCCAATCGGGATGTCTTACTGGAGGAGTTTTTTAAGAACCCCAAGAAGTATATTTGCGATGCGGGAGTATTGAACGAAATGCAGGCATCCGATCGTTACAAGAGGATGGAGGGGGCTGTACGGGATGAAATGGATATGGAAGAGGATGTACACAACCTTTACAAAAATGGTGTGGACAATCTACTGAATTGGTTGGTGGCTACTGCGGAGGTAAAGGCAAATGTTCATGAAATCACTAAAAGGTTCTTGGATGCGGCCGCCGAGGAAGCGAGGAACCCAACGACGTCGAGTGCACCGACATACCTGGAGGGATGCTACGAGTCTGTGTACAATGCGAGGTGGCACCATGTCGTGGAAGTTCCTGGCGGCGAGGGGACGGGAATGGAGGTGGAGGAGGGGGAACCACCGCAGTCATGGACGTACAAGGCAGTTGGCGACACTCTCGAAAAGGATGACGGTGTGCAGCAATCCGGTGCACTGCGTCCCAGGCTGATGGTGCTCACCTCGGACAAGGGATGGCCGTACTCGTGGGAGGAGGATGAATCCCTTCGTGACTGCTATGTGAACTGTGAGGTGGAGCGAGTGTGGCAGATTGTCAGGAATGATCTAACCGAATTGCTCGGCCCTGACCCTGGGACCTACTTTGAGCCTAGGCGACATGTGTTGATTGGGACGCCCGGGATCGGGAAGTCGATGGGTGCTGGCTCGTACCTCCTCTACCAGCTGCTGCACTGCGATGCCAAGAAACTCCATTTGGTTGCGAACTTTATGGTGAGTGGAGCATATCTGTTGGACATGACCACCAGAGCGGTGCCAGAATACATGGGCGAGTCCAGCACCGTAGAGGTTGTGAGGGCCCGTCTTGGTGCGGGGTGAGGGGGTATATTGTCTACGACGTGGCATAGCCGGACAATCGCCTGTCCACTTGTTTGCTTCCTCTTGAATGGGGCATGCTTGTGGTGACACCACCAGAGACAAAAATATGCGGACACTGGGCGAGCGAAGGGAGAGCCGCACGAATTGTGATGAATTGTCCTGACGAAAGCGACGCGAAGGCAATGTGCGTTTGGACGTGGCGTGATCAGCCGTGCAGCGGCAAGCGGAAAGCTGGCGCGAGGTGAGGGGTCACATGGATGAAGTGGGGCCGCTTCTTCGCTACATCTTTGGTAAGCGACATTGTACTGCACGGATTGAGAAGTGTCACCGCGCTGTGGAGATGACGAACTCCCCGAGAAGCAAGTATTACTTTGGCTTTGGGATGTTTAGAATGTGTGATGATAATACGGCGTTTGAATGTCTTGCAAATATTGTCCGAGTACGGGGAGAGCACAATGGTGAGTCGCCTTTCAATGCACCGATATCTTCCCACCTCGGAGGTAAAATATTATGCAGGTTGGCAAAGTTAATGCGGCCGAATGATTTCAATTTGCTCGTGTCGAAGCTCAGGGATTATCTCATGTCCGAAAATTTTGGGAAGTGTGCCGTGTTTGCGTTTTTGAATGGGGCTTTCGTGGCTGCAGTAAGGCGCAAACTGAAGGAGCTGAGGCCACCAACACGACGTCAGCCACGCCGCTGTGCGCTGGAGGTGTTATTCGCAGGAGCGCCTCACCAGGCACTATTTTTTGCCGTC